CACCTTAATATAAATTCAAATGTACAACCGTTAAATGCTCATTTGCAACTGAAGATGACATGAGAATGTCGAAACATGTCTTGTAAACTCAAAGTTGTTGTTTCTTTTTTGAGAGATATTTGAACTTCCGTTTACCTGTGGCTCGTGATGATTGCATCATCAATGCCCTCTTCTGACACGCCATCGCGGGTGCAAATAAGCATATTCAAGACTGACCCGACCTCGCCAAGATCAGTGGATAAAGATTATTCTGAGGATTGTTGTGGTTTTTTCCTTACACTTCCTCTTTTCATAGTGAAAATCGTTCATGAACATAAAAGTGATCTGTGCAGGACTGAGTAAAACAGGAACCACATCCATGGCGGCAGGTTTGCGAATTCTCGGCTTCACTGTGTAGGACTGGCCGGAACACCGCACCATTAATGTAGACGAGTGGTTCGATATTCTTCGCAGGGGCAAGATACCCGACTTTTCCGCCATGTACAACAATGTGGACGCAGTGACTGACCTTCCAGCAAAGTTTTGGTTTCAAGAAATCCTCGAGGTATTTCCAGATGCAAAAGTCATTTAACAGTTCGAGACAACGAAGATGTTTGGGTGAGGAGTTGGTCAAAACAGCTAGATGTGGACAACAACCTTAATGGCTGCTGGTTTCCGACAAGGATACTGCAGAGGGAGTGGCTCTACCGTAAATATTATGCACTTTTGAATGCAGCGAATTCCGCAGCCTTTGGAAGCCTGAACCCAACTTCAGTTGTTCTGTTCAAGAAGAAGTATCGCAAGCACAATGAACGAGTGAAAGTTGTCGTTCGAAAAGAAAAATTATTGATCTTTAACGTGAAGAAGGGCTGGGGACCACTCTGCGAATTTCTGAAGTGTCAGACCCCAAAGCAAGAACCTTTTCCTCAGATGAATGTAGCTTTATCAGATACTTTAAAAAGTTTGGCAAAACGTCAGCAAGCATTGAAATTAAAGTTACTTCTTATTTTCATTTCATTGTGCGTTTTTCAATGTTTTCTCTACTTGCTTTTTGTATGAACCTAGGCTAGGGAAAGAACTGAAAGCATTTCCGAAAGTTTTCTTTGAGGTTAAGCTGGACTGCTAGTGTCGCGAAACCATTCAGTATTAGTCCCCTTGTAATCTTCAGTTCAATTAACGCATAAGGTTTGGTTAAATTCATGATTTTACATAGTATACTAATTTTATAAACACAAAAGAATGTGAGACAAGGCATGGACGCGCGAGAATTTGCAGAGTTAGAATAACAGTACAAAGTGAGTTAATTATTGTAAGCTATGATTTGTTGCTCGTTTCGATAGTTCTATCTTCTCTTGAAGAATCAATGCGTCTCAAAATATCAAGCATGGATTGTCTTATTGTGCAAGTCAAAAAGCTATTGAATTGTCACAAGTTACATTGAGTTGAAGATAAAGAGAGATAAAAATCATGAAAAAAACGAATAAATTCTTTAGGCCAAGATCAGTCATGAAAGGCTTTTTCTTGAAAAAAGTGCCATTTCTAGTTTAGAATTAAAGTGAATTTAACCATGGTCATCGTCGTAAGTGTCTTCATACCGCAGTTATTAAAATTTGTATTGAAATGGTGCCGGTCAGACTGTGCTACCAAAACCCCAAGAGAGCAAAGAAAGGGGTTTTCAATGTAAGTCCAATCGTGACTGCCATCTTACCTGAGGGTGGCATGCATGCAAAGCCAGTGCATAGCCTCTTTCAGTTTCGGGATTAAGAGTGAGCCTTCAACAGAGCACAACTTGAATTTTCATGTTACTGTGTCGAAACATTTTCGACACAGTAACATGACAGACAGGATTTCCCTTTATCACCAATGCTCTTTATTCAATGAGTAGAGAGGCGTGCTAATGCTATATATCAGACTGATATAAGTCGGAAGAGGTTAAGTTGTAAATGTCTTCTGTGTCAGCTATACTTCATTCCGAAAGAGCTCTATGGAGTGAGGTAGAGACTCTCGTCGTGAGACTGAAAAAGCTAAAATCAACTAAAAAAAAAAGATTAAAATGTTCGTTCAAATTTCTGGACAATCTGAAATAACACAAATTTTAGGACTAACAATTGTTGAGTGTCCGCTCGTGTACCATTCATGCATAAAATCTTATTGACATGGTTAAGCGATTTGTTTTGACATACGGGGTTTAATGTTGGTTGGGTCATTTCGAGTCAACTGATTAGGATACGCAGGGTTTTTTTTAATCGGTTCAGAATTGTGAGTGGATGGAATGCTGAGATATTTTATAAAAGATCAACTATGTTAAAGACTGGAATACTCAAAAGTATTCATAGCAAAAAACATACAAAAATTACCAAAATGTTAATTATTACTTGCCAAGGATAGTGGGAAATGAGGCGAGAACGCTGCGAGTAAATTTTGATCAATAAGATGTCGCAAAAGCTATCAAAACACACAGTTTGCAAGTCGGAATTTGACTGTATCTCACAAGATCAAGATGAATTAGTTTATACTGCTCCGAGTCTACCTTTCATGCAGCACTTGCCTTGTTAAATTCTTAATGTCACGTTAAAGTCACACACTCAGAATGTCAAGTTATATTGCATCATCAGCGCCCTTTCCTGACACCCCATCGTGGGCACTACTAAGCCTATGCAAGACTGACCCGAGCTTGCCAAGATCAATTGATAAAGATTATTTGGAGGACTGTTGTGGTTTTTTAATTATTCTTCCTCTTTTCAAAGTAAAATCAGTTGTTCATAAACATGAAAGTGACCTGCAGTTTGCTGTGCTTCAGAGAGAGCAGGTAAGCCGCATCCGAACATGATGCAAGTGAGGCAGATGGCTTAAGTTTATTTGGCGATCATATCGATGAAAGAGAGGATATCGTCCTCGAGCATACGGAAGATGGAGACTCTGACAACGCTGGTCTGAAATCAGCTCCTTTCTGAGTTGTTCAGAGGACACAGGTTCGCCCGAATTGCAACTGGCTTTGCTGACCGTTAGTAAATGGAAAATTCAATGCATAGTATTCTGTGGAAATTCTCCATAAATATAGGAAGCCAAGTAATTGTGTCAATGCGCTTGTTCCCAAAGTAAACGAAGAAATATGGAATTGACTGCCCACAAATGTCGGATATCAGAACTTGGGCATTACAAGACACAGTCGTAAAGTGCTATTATATTCACGACTGGTAAACTTCAGAAATTGAAGAAAACCATCCTCAGCTACGTATACAAAGCACTGATAAACCTTTTGTAGGATTCTGTGGCCTTGCTACGTCATGTTGGAACAGAACTATCTCACAAGAGAAGGGATGCCTTAAAACCCTTTTTACATTAGGATTTCATCCTCCTTTTCTGGCAAACATGTTAAAATTACGATTGAAAATACCTCAGTCTGTTGTTTCGGAAAAAAGCAGCATGGAGACATGTCAAAGTGAAGAATGTAATTAATATAATAATAATAATAATAATAAATAGATGCTTATAGGGTGCATTTCTAATCTCAATGCGCCTAACAACAGATTATTAAGACATAGAGAATAAGTAATTAATTAACAGTAATGTTTTTTAAACAAAACTCCTAAGCCTAGTTTTGAATGTTTCTGCTGTTTCCGCTCTTTTAATATATTCGGGAATTGAGTTCCATAGTCTCGGTGCAGATACTGAAAAAGCGCGTCCACCATAGGAACTGGATTTAATAGGTGGGATGCATAACTGTGAGCGAGTTGATGATCTAATTCGCTTGTAGTGCGGATCTGGGAATTCTGCATTTCACACAACATATGTTGGCTTACAGCAGCCCATATTCCTGGTTTCTCCAATCTAATTGCTGATGATGAATCCAGTCATTTCCATTCCCAAGATACTGAATGGATGCTCAACCCCTAACTGTTGACCGGGGCCCTCAAGACCCTAAATTTTAATCAAGAGATTTATTTCTTTGCTTCTCGATTGAATTAGCAATTCCCTATTATTTTCCCCATTCAGACCAGGCCCTGGGGCATTATTCATAAATGCTTTCACTATTGGGCCGATAAAAAAGCTCTCCTATTTTCCTCCTTTCAGCTGTATCCGAAAGGCGCTACAGAAAATCATTCAGAATCAGGTAACTTGTGTGGTAGTGGTTCCCGACTGGCCCACTTAAGCATAGTATCCACCGCTGACATCTCTCCTAATACTTCCTCCAGACCCAAGCTTCGCTCCTCAAAGAATCTACTTATGTCAAACTCCTTCAGGAAATTGTTAAGGACAAATATTCTTTTGAAGTTACCCTACCTTTTACACGGCACCTAAGTAAATAGATAAAAAATCCGTATTTTATTTCAAATTTAAATAGTCATTCTACTTTTTGGGAAAAATATAGGGAGACCTTGTTAAAAGTCTTTGGAATAAGTAAGTTTTATATTCCTTTTACAAGTACAAACGGGGCCTCCAAAAATGGGCTAAATTCGACTCTCGAATGATGCTAATCATGCGTGAAATGATTTTATCAATTTTCTCGAAAACAAAATAATTTTTTCAACAAACTATACACATGTCTTGGTTTGTTTTACCTATAGGAATACCTAATACTAGAATATGAGCCAATTCAATTTTTTGTACTGTTGCCGGTGAATGTTTGATTTTCCGTGACAACCTCTCTTAAAAATAATTAACCAAAGAAATTTTACTGGTGACCACAATGGAAAGATATTAACTATTAGCGGTAAATTAATTTTGCAAACTTTTAACCGTTAGCCGTAAAAGCCATCACCCAATTGACACCCTCTAATTAGGAGTAAGAAAATCGTGGTAGGAGGCAGCAACAGACAGAGTTCATAAATTACACATGAGAAAAATGGTTCTAATTTGCCAACTGCTTCCGGTAGGTAGTCGAGGGCGAGTACACCGAATAAGAACCATAATCCCTGCAAAGAACGATAGTAATAGCTTTGAGTATTGGCCACCATGAAGAGGTTCAAACGCTAAGGTTTCGACCGTTGGTCCCTCGTCAGACCGAATCCACACAGTTAACTCAGCTGATAAAACCGTACGATCTTGTAATACCTACTTTGACGGCTCTCTTCTACATTTTCGCAGTGTATTTTTAACAGCAAGGCGTATCTCTTTAATTCTCCAACAGTAGACTATTGGATTCAAACAGGAGTTCGCGAAAACAATACTTGTTGTGTAGTCATAGGTAATTTTGACCTTTAACGTGTATCCAAGATGTGTTTCCAAGAACATAGTCACAAAAAATGGAAAATAGAAAATAAGAAATAAACCATAGAAGCACAACACAGTTACAGCAGATTTTCTGCATTTCAGCATCTTCACCGCGGAAAGTTGGGTGCTCTGCTGTTGCTCTATTATCTGGCGCTTGTGTTTGCGAACGATATGAAATATTTTCAAGGAACTTATTGCTGTAACCAGAAAAGAAAGAAGTATCACAACCAAGGGAATAAAAATCCAGTCTTTCACCCAAAATCTCAAGATAACAACAGTTACGTTTCCAATCCATAGAAAAATAGCAATTCTCAGAACCCGAGAGCCAGTCACAATTGAACTGTATCGTAGATGTAGGATCAAAGCTAGAAGTCGATCGATGGAGACAGCGCTCAAAGTGAACAAAGACACTCCAACTGTGATCCAACCAGATATATTTTGGGTCATTCTCAAGATACAGTAAGCTCTGAAGTTATTTAAAAGTTCTGCAATCTGATAAGCCACGAACAATGGTTGACAAACCAGTCCGACCAGCAGATCTGAAGCAGCGAGACAAAACAAAAGCATGAAAGATGGCGAATGAAGCTCTTGAGTCTTCCAGATGACATTAAGAATGATAATATTTCCTGTAGATGTTATTGGGGAAAACACTGCATTGAAAATACAAGTAAGAATACTCGCAATAAAGGTTTCTCCAGTTTGTTCCAAGTTTAAGTCCAAAAAGGAACATCGCATATTGGTTCCGTTCATCTCGGAGATAAAAGACAGAACTCAATGATGAGTTCGGAAAGACGTTGGACGCAAACATCAAACCAAACGGATCGAATTTTCATGATTCATATGCACGTGCTTCAATCAATAGTAGAACACCTGAATAAATGCATTTGACATTAGGTTTGCTTAATTAAAAAAAATAAAAAATAGTCAAAATAATTAGATCGAGTCAGGGACATCCAATTAGGAAATTTACGAACCTTCCTCATAAATGAAATTATTAATTCATTCCCAATTTATTTTGAACTTTAAGAGATCAGAGCGATGGACACTCTCTTTTTAACAACATGAGCCGGAAACTGACGATTGCTCTCATTAACAATGAAGGAAACACCCTTTCAAAAAGCAGCCACTTAAAAATTTAATCTAAAAGCAGGAAATCTTGCCTTCATGATGTTACGTTTGCTGATAATGATGACTGATGAAAGCCCTAAGAAATATTTAAAAATTTTAAAATGTTTAAAAATACGTCAATAGCTGGTGTGCCTCTCTGCGACACGATATTGAGTGGTTTTTGTTCATAATCATTATGGTTGCTGCGCGTCACTTCGAACGTGAGCAGAACCTTTTCCGTGTGAGATGTTCCTATCAAAGTTTACTTACGTGAGCGAAACTCATGAGATGGCCACGACACGAGTCGCCTTTTAGAAATGATACAGCACCTAGCAACAAACACAGCGTTAAAATGTCGGGCATGCGTAAGTGGATCATTGTCGGCCAGCCGCGCGCGCCAACCTCCCGCGAAAATTAGTAAAGATGGAGAGTCATGGGGAACAACCGGTCCAAGAAATAGTTTGCTTGAAATTTTGAACTTTTCATAGGAATCAGTAAAAAGAAAACGTACACGACATTTCTATTGCTTCTTGAATTATCCTAAGGAAATTCTGATGATCTACCATTTTGCTTCCTTGGGCCTTACCCAAAAAGCTATACGCTTTTTAAACTCCGTGACTTATCAGTTTGTGTGGTCGTTTAAAACTCCTCTAACGAGCATTCGCTCCGACGAAAAGCTGACGCTCGAAACGTTAGCTTCTAGACTCTCTACGGTGGCCAAATTACATCATCAACACAGTTGATAAAACCAAATTAACTTGTTATGATCCCCCACCGACGCAGCAACACAGTTCCTTTACAAACTTTCACACTTAACACAGCCCGTGTCCGTCAGCCTGAGAGCACAAAGACAGTCGACCTTAACTTCAGCGTATGCGCAGTCGTTTGAGCGCTTAGTTCCCAGAAAATATGCTCGATGCAATCTCGTGTTCCTTGCATTAATTACGGATGAAGGTGAAAAAAAGAACTCCTGAACTGGGTCGGAGTTCGAGCATATGTAACTATAACAGGGTACGGTCAAATTCCGATAATCATTTAAGTCAGTGTAGGTGAGTTTGTGCTTAATCGAAATATCCGACAAGCACGGCTATTCAAAGTGAGTTTTAAGAAAATCACTCCGTTTTAAAGGTTAGAAAAGGCTAGGATATAAAGTTATCTTTTGTCAATTCCCGTCAGTACTTTCCCGAGTATCTCTTCAGAGCAGTTTTAACAGCATGGCGTATCTCCTTAATTCTCCAGCAGTAAAGAAATGGATTCAGACTGGAGTTAATGAATACAGCAGTTGTCGTGTAGTCATAGGCAATCTTCACCTTCAAGGAGTACCCAACTAGTGCTTCTGCAAACATGGTCGAGAAAAAGGGAACATAGAAAAACAGGAACAACCCATATACATAGAGTACAGTCACGGCAGATTTTCTGCATTTGAGCACATTCACTGTGTTCATCTGGACGCTTCGTTGTTGCTGTTTTATTTGTCGCTGGTGCTTGCGAACGATTCGAAATATCTGGAACGTGCTTGCAGCTGTAACCAGAAATGAAATCAGTAACACCACTAAAGGAATAATGATCCAGTTTCTAATCCAAACCTTTAACAAAACCCCAGTTATACAACCTGTCCAGAGAAAACAAGCGACTAAAAGCACGCGGCAAATAGTTACAGATGTCCTGTATCTTAGATGAAGGGTTAAAGCAAGAAGCCGATCAACGGAGATACAGCTCAAAATCAACACTGATACACCAGCCGTTGTCCAGCCAGAGATATTTTGAGCCATTCTCAGGATGCAGTAATACCTGAAGTTATCTGAAAGCTCTGCGATCTGATAAGCCACATAAAACGGCTGACAAATCAGTCCCACCAGAAGATCGGAGGCAGAAAGACAAAGTAGAAGCATAAAGGGTGGCAAATGAAGCTCTTGAGTTTTCCAGATGACACGAAGAATGATACAATTCCCTGTAGAGGTTATTAATGAAAACACTGCGTTGAAAACGCAAGTGAGAATACTTGCAATCAAGGTTTCTGCGTTTTTTTCCAAGTTAATGTCCAAAAAGAAGCAGTTTGAATAAGTTCTGTTCATGATGACAGCGAACCCGACACTAATTTAAGCTGGGACTTCTTAAGAAAAATTGTAGCTATCTCAGTATTGATAGCAATACATAATTCATATGCACGTCTTGCAATTAGCAAGCATACAACTCAAAAAGGAACGGTCATTATATTTGCTTTTTAAATAGTAAAAACATCACCGGAGATCATGCCTTTTTGAAAAATGTCAACGTTTCTTTGACAAGAGTAAGCATATTTCTGGCAGTTGAAAGTGCGGGACAGAGCCAGCGCTTCATCAAAAAGCAAACAAATGAGTATTTTTCATTGTATTTTCCTGGATGTGAATGTTTGCTTATACTGTGTAAAGCAGACAGTTTGTAGGTTAACTTTAAATTTCCTACCCCACGCTGCCTAGAAAAAACATCATTTACGACATATCAGCAATGCTTTTGACTCTTATTTCTCGTTTGTCAATTAACTACTTCTGACCATTAATTTTTAGACTGTTTTTGACTCGGGAATTAACTGTAGGTGCCTGTGTGTGTGACACTAGAGACATTTTTGATGAGTTTACTAATATACCTACGTGTAGTTGTAAAATGGCTGTCCTCCAGCGATAGATGTCCAAATGACAACAAGAGGAAACGGCAACCAGTATCAAACCAGTAAAACTGGTGAGGTCCTAACCTATAAAAGCTCGTGATTGACAAAGGCTAGATACTTTACATGAAACATTCAAGACTTGGGTATTTTAAAGAAAAAGGGTGAATACAAACTATTGGTAGTCAGGAACATGCCAAATAACTTACGTAAGCTTTTTTTTTTCTTTTCGAAAACGAAAAGAGTATGGAAAGCCTTAATGATCGATTCAAAGATAATCTACTTATGTTTGAAACGCTGACAAACCTGTTCCTGACAAATGTTTTCAATAACAACTACAATTGATTTAGATGAAGCCTTCTCCAAACGTGATGGAGGCGAACTGATAAGGCCTGGGTAAGAGCGGCATTTATCAGTTTACTTTTTTTCTATATTTCTATATTTTAATTTCCATTAATTTTTTTCTTTTTATCATTTAATCGTCGACAAATTCTGTCCACTTGTAGACCTGAACGTGATCAAATTATCAGTCGAGTCTCTAAAGAGACTTTTAGGAGCGTTGAGTGTTGATCTTAACAAAGATATTTTTGTTTTATCTAGACTTTCTTAACTAATGGGATGGATTTTATTGGATGAAACCTTTCTTGTAAACAATATTTTAACGCGAAGTTTAATCTTTTCCATTATCCAGCAGTAGATAACGGGATTTATTGAAGAGTTAATGAAGACAACCAACGTGGCCCACTCGTAAGCGACCTTAACTGACTTTCTATCGCCTATGATCATTTCCACAGCTATAACGAGGAGGAAAGGAAGACAAAACATCAACATCAAGCTAAAGACACAAATTACTGTCTTGGCAGACTTTTTGCATTTACCTGCGTAAATATCCTTCGTGCGGTGTGGATAACTGATTATTGCATTATTTACTCCATTAATTTCACGCTCGTGCCTTCGAGCGATACGATAAATTTTACCAGTGCAAAAGGCAGTAGTTGCTATCGCCGATAACTGAATAACAACCGCGATAATGATCCACTTTTGTAACCACAGCTTTAGTATGGCCGCCACCGAGCAAACCAGACAAACTCCTATCATTGCTGTTATCACTCGTCGAACCGTAACGATGCTTCTGTATCGCAAGTGAAGTGTTAGAGCGAGAAGCCTGTCGACAGAGATGCCATTAACGGTCAAAAAGGACACGCCAGAAGTTATCCATCCACAAAAGAACTGAATCAGTCGCAAGTTACAATACGCGCTGAAAGATTCGAGGCTCTCTGCTATCTTGTATGCAACGAAGGATGGCTGACCAACCAATCCGACAAGAAGATCTGACATGGCCAAGCAAAACAACAAAACGAAAGATGGTGAATGAAGCTCTCGTGTTTCCCATATAATGAACATTACAATGCCATTTCCTAATATTGCAGTTATTGTAAACAGTGCGCATAAAACGCATAACACCACACTTGCTGTTTTTTCTACTTCGTCTTGTTCCCATTTAACTTCAAAGAAAAAACACGTTAAGTTGGCTGTAAAGCTGGCGATTCCGCTGTCGCAATCGACTCACTAACCACTTGCCAAGGCTTAGTTTCAAGTTAAATGCAAACATGTTCCTTTGGTTTGAACCTCCTGGCAGTTTTATCTTTTGTTACAGTCAAGTTACGTAACTTGTGTTGATCAAGATTTTAGAGCAATGTCATGTTCGCCGTCCTGCACCATTATGCGCCTGAAGGGACTCCTGGCGCCCGCAAATCAACAGCTTTTATCTGAAATCAAAGAACATCTGTATCTCCTCACATTAAAATTTGAAATATATGTTGTCGGAAGAGCTTCCTTTTCATTAGACTACGTATTCAATTATTAATTTACCACATATTCCACTGAAGTGCTCAATGGTACTGATATCTTTTTCAAGTCGTTTTCAAACATTTATTGGC